GGTTTTTTTTTTTTTTTTTTTTTTTAGCTAAAGAGGAGTTATGGCTCACTCCCAAGTACCTGTGCAAACGTATGATTAACTTACTACTCCAGAAAAGTATTTTAATCCCAAAGTCATTTATTTTGGCTTTAGAATAGACTAGCATTTGTGTCGGATTTTCCTGCCTAATTACTTTCTGCTTAAGCTTGTTTTAAAATTGTTTTAAATTCCTTTATGGTGACAGCCCAGGGAAGGGGGGTGGGGTGGAGAAATGGGCCACAGATGGGTCTGAACTAGGAATCCAGCTCTCCGGTATAAAAGCCTCCTCAGACTGGGCTGGTAGGAGACAAAATCGGAGTCAGCTTTCCGGAGAACAATTTGGCAAAGATATTTTTTAAAGTCTTAAAAATAGGCTTACTCTTTGATCCAGTAATTCCACGTGTAGGAATTTATCCTAAGGAAGTAATCAAACGAGCCCGCAGAAATGTGGGAACATGGCACTCACCATGTTTATCTCAGGAAATCAAAAGTAAAACCAACGTAAAACAGTGAAGACTATGGAACTGATTAAGTCAAGTACGCTCCTATCGCCGACGTGCGTGGTCATGTCAAATCACAGACTTTAGAAATGTTCACCCCGTCTTTCCAAGTGGAAAAGAGACTGAAAAATAGTGTGTACGGTTTGAAACAGCACGAAGACACAGAGGCAGGTAGGCGGGCAGGCCGGTGGGTGCGTGGCGGCCTCGCTGGGAGGACTCCGCGGTGGTAACCTTGGTCTCCCTGAGTGGTGAAAAGATGGCTGGTTTTGTACTTTTTTGTGTTTTTCAAGTTTTCTGCTTGAATATATGTTACTTTGTAATTAGAAAAAAACAACTATTATGTGTTTTAAAGGGTACATGTTTAATGTGTCAATGAGAAAGATACAATGTTGCTCTTCAGTACCCACAGAGTGGGTAATTTGGATGCACACCTGATAATTTAGATTGAACATATTTTCTTAAGGGTCACGTTCATACACAGGAATTATCAGCAATCATACCGAATTCATAAAACCAGATGTACTGTAGGTTATGTTTTCCAAGCGAAGGAACCACCTTCAGCAAAAACCTGTGAGTGTAACCTGGGTGCCCAGTTGTCTGAAGCCAGCGCCAGGAGGTAGCTGGACGCTTCTGGGAGGGAGCCACCATGGTTTGGCAAAGCTACACTGACTAGTAGGTTTTCTGTGAATTATATGCAAAAAGTATTTATTGCCTACAAAACAGCAGAACAATACTGGGAACATTTGAACTCATTCTTAATCCTCTGAGAGCAGTGCCCAGTTAAATGTGTTACTATTTCTCCTTTCTTATCCCATTGTCATCAACTCGGATGCCAAAAGGGAGAGTGTAAGGTAAATTCTGGGCAACCAGGAACCTTGATGACCCCAGAAGAGCACTTGGCTCACATTTGAAAGACCCCTGCTGCATCTGATCAGCTGGACGGGGG